TGTTAATGAACTGGTTCAATGTCACTGCAAATACCAACAAAAACAAAAATTCCTCCCCTTCTACTGCCTATGTACATAAATAGCTGTCCAATGCATAAAGGATAAAGATAAAGGTCTTACAGACCATATAGATTTCAAATGATCAGAGGAGGCCCAAAAAATGCCTTGGCACAGCTTAAATCTTTGTACCCTGCCCTGAGTTTTCACTTACATTAATGAGAATTTCTGCATTTGATGACAAATCTCAACACTATAGATGGCAATAGCTGCTTCTCTATCTCCAAAGGAGTGATTTCAGACTTCAGATAAAACTGAATCTTGGCCATCTCAGGCAACATCTTGTCAATAGACTTCAGACATCTGTGTGAACTACAGATCAGGTAAGCAAGCAAATGCTTCTATTTGACCATCGTCCTGAATCTTGGATTTATTCAGGAACCTTTCAGCCAGAGATTCACTTTGAGAATCAATACAGCAAACAACAAGAAATCTATGGAAATCCTTTGTCAAAGTAATACTTCATTGAGTATATAAATACTCTTCTAGGTTTTTCAGAAGTGTACATTACCAAAACTGATAATGCAGTGATTAAAAAGCTAGTTAGCAAAATGCTTAAGATTATAGAAAATTAATACAAAACTGCAGGTTAGAAGTCTTGCCTCCAGGAAATTAAAAACTCATTTCTTGGCAAACAGTCAAGATTATAATATTGTTCCTTCATATGCACGTTACTTTCTGTAGACATCAGTGGATGTAGAGGAGCAAGAGGAAGTCATCTTCATATTCTAATTTTAGCAGACCAAACAAATTCAGCATTTCTTTTTTATTTAGCTTTGCAGAGTAGTGTGGAAAAGGCTTGATTCTGCCTGTTGCACTTCTGCTCCATGCCAGACTACTTTCACTAGTCCTTTTTTTCATAAGCTGAGTGGGCTGCAACTAGAAGAACCAAGTGAGGAAAAGACAACCATGCAGCTTCTGCACAGCTATGGACCAGCTCACTAGTGGAAAACCAGTTTATAACAACCCTAGCAGATGTCAGAACTAACCAACCCGACTCCTCTGAGACATTCCTCAGAACTAAACCAAAGACATGTATCATTTTACTACAGAAAACACCAAGATCATAAAAATTGTGTGTAAGTCTTCCTCAGGAGCAATGCCCATCTTGCCTTGGCCAGTGCCTGCCTTTTGTATCCCTTCTCCTTCCCTTATCTCCTGAGCCTGTTCCCTGATGTCAAATCAATGGCATGCACTATGGCCTGTTTCTTCTCCTAATACCCTCCAGGCACTCCACACAGACTTTCAGTGAGGACAGTGCTGTCCATAGAATCAACACAGTTCTCAGTAAAGAACCCAGCTCTTCCCACAAACCCAACAATTAGCTCCATTATGATCGTGTATCTACCACTTGTGGATTATGAAAAAAATCTGTTTCACCATCATTTGTCCAAATTTATCTGGGTTTGCCCCAGACTTTGAGAGAAGATGCAAAAAGGCAGGCTTTTTAATCCCTTTAGTTAAAATCCTGACTCAGGATTATAATTTGTGACCTGAGTCCTGGTGCCCTGGGAAAGCGAACAGGCTGTCCTAACCTGGGAAAGGTCTTTTCATGGTGAAGAACTCACAGAATCCTTCTCTTCACTACATTCACTGATGAAAATCAGGAACTGAAAAATCAGTTTCACTAAGAGAGGCCTTCAGTGATTTCTTTTTCCTGACAAGAACTGCACCTGAATTTTCATCTAAAACTGACTGCTCAAATTATTTCCACTTTGCTTTAAAAATAATAAAACCTTAAAAATACTAAAGTTGTTCTTTAAAAGTAATAAATAGAGGACAGTATTATGAATGCTAAGGAAAGCTTACAAAGAACAAAGGAAAAAATATTTGGAAAATCAAAATAGCAGCATTTTTCAAACAGTTCTACCTTGGACCACTGAAACCAGATAAGTAGTACTGTAAGGTACCTCAGTAGTGTAAATATTTGGGCCAAGACTGTTGTCTGAACAAATGGATCCTGCACAGTTCACTCTATGTACTTGTGGCTTGCTGTAATTTCTGGGCCAACTTGAGCAAGTAATTTAAGCATGTACCTGACCAAAAGTACATTTAGGAGCTTGATTGCTTGTAAAAGGTAGAGTCAATCCTTCAAGAACACCTCTGACCTTTGAAAAATGCCTGAAGCTAATTACAGGATGCAGAAGCCTAGAAGACAAGGGGCTAATACGTATGTCCCAAACACTGATAGCAGCATATCTGTGGAGCCAACCAAGGATTGTTGGTACCAACAGCAGATTACCAATCACAACTGGAGAAAGGAGCCATGTGGAAGTAGGGCAGTACTTTTCTAGGACAAGTATCCTTGTTCTGGCTCCCGGAGCTAAGCACAGCAGAGTACAGCTGAGGTGCAGGAATGAGGCCAATGGCAGGCCTGGAATGTAAGGGGGGATCAAGAGCACCCAAGATCCCTAAAGCCCCCCAACCCATTTCCAGAAAGATCTACAAGAACGGGCTGCACATGAAAACTCATTTGCATAGAGAATGAGAAACTTAGCTCCTGGGCATGGAAACTTCAATATAAAAAGGGCTACGAAGCCTGGACACACCAGGGGCCTGCATACCCCATCGGCTGTATTGATGATGGAGCCAGGACTGGTGATATCTACCATCTTCCTTTCTTCTTTTCATTCTCACTCCTCTTTCATCCATCGCTCTCTCTCTCAGTCTCTTTCCTTTCATCCTAGCCTTTTATCCAAAACCCACTGCCCCATGCTTATATAGGAGGTCAGAGATTACCATACACATTTCCATGCCAAATGTGTAATTTATTAATAAAACTTTGTAAGCTTTGGCAGGCCCTCTTACTTTTGTCATTCCTTTTGACCACAAGGACCTATGATCCTTGGATGCTCCCTTCCATGTAAGGGTGGGATGCCACACTGGACTAATGCTAGACCCATTAAAATGGAAGCACACAGCACATCAAGATCCATGTGATCCAGCTCTAGCTAGGTATAAATATTTACACTGCTCTTTAAATGGATCCTTGCCTTGAATTAAATATTCATAGCGAACCAGCCATGCTTATTCATTTTATTTTAATATTAAACCACACTATGCAGGCTGGCAACTCCACTAAATACTAGGACCGAGATTTAAAAAACAAAAGTACAGTAATGTTGTTACAGAGAAGCAATAAACAACTATTTTCATAAATTTTGTGAACAAAATGGGTGCTCAAAGAGTACTGCAGTGTGATTTTCCTGCTTAGAATAATTTAGTATATTATTTATTTTAAAGTGCTGATACTAATGGGGTAGGAGAGGCAGGAGGGGAGGGATACCAAAAATAATAAAAGAGGTGTGTGAGGGTCGTGTGTGCACATACCTTCTTGCAGGCATACACAGGTATGCTCACATGTAGTTACTCTAAATATCCATGTAAATTAATCTAAAATACCATGAGAGGAAGGGATTTGTATGCACAGCAAGCTGCTGGGTCTGGATTATGAATGTTGTCAGTTTGAACAAATGGATCCTGTGCAGTTCACTCTATGTACTAAATCAGGACTGATACCTATGGATTTTAGAAGCCAAAAATATAAAACAAACTTGCGTTAAACAAATTATAAACCAAAACTAGTTTGGATGGCCGCCTGAAATTAGGTATATTATATAGATATATTATAGCAGAGAACCAAGGTGAGCCTGGAAGAAAGCATTTATTTGTTCACCCAACAAATGACTGGAACAAGAGGGGATAATTTGTGTGGGAGCATTGACCTGCCACTAATCAATTAGAAACTTATTTTCTACATTTTGAGAAAGCACACATACACACCCCAAGTAGGGTATTTTTGGTTTATTTTGCCAGTCCTTGAATTAACAGGCCGTTGCATAATTCTGGAGAAGGAGAAAAACCAAGAAATCCACCTTAGCAGCCTAGATTTTTGGTGTAATTCCAGCTTGCTTTTAGATTCCATAAGTGGCTGTGGCAGCAAAGAATTGCAGTGCTGGAGGCCCTTCAGCATTGGTGTGTGTGGCACCAAGTATCTGCTGCTCACAGTTTAACTCTAGGCAAGCCTTTGCCCATTGCCTCTATGACCGGGGCCAAACTAAAATCCAGGACCAAGCTGTTCACATCCAATCCAACTGTTTTCAGCTTGCCTCATCACTTCTACCCTGGGAGAAGTACAGCTCTGAATCTAGGTGAAGAATAGCTGCCTTTCTGTTTTAAAGCTATTTAGGGAATTTCTAACGAACACGGTCTGTATGTATAAATATTGAAAATTGACCCAAAAAACCTGAAAAATTTATGCATTTTTTAGGAAAACAGCAGACCTACAGTGATGTATAATTGGATCTAATATATCTGATACTGCTCCCAGAAGGAAATCTATGTTCCTCTTAGAAATGGGATTGCACACTAAGTAACCTCTTAGTTCCAAATGTAAATTACAATAGTTCTTTGAAGCTTACTAAGCAAATGAAGAGCCTTTTCCACTTTCTGCTTTACAGTCATCCTGAATTAGAAATAAAAATTAGTTCATCTGTTAAATCAGTCATTCCCCCACTCACTTCACAAGCCCTTGCCGAACCCAAATTCTCTTATAACATTCAGGAAGACAGAATGCCTTGTTGCCAACATTTGGGTACCCCTGTCTACTGTTCTCAGCACTCTGAAACTGGTGGTGGTTCACACCACAAAACAAATACCTTCTGTACATAAGAATTGGACACAGTACATAAGGACCAGAAACTGAAAAATCAATTTGGTGTTCATTTAGTGGGCAGAAAATGTTCAGGTTCATAAAGGTAAAAGTTCTCCTCTCCTCGAGTCTCCTCTCCTCAAGTCTCCTCTCCTCGAGTCTCCTCTCCTCTCCTCAAGTCTCCTCGAGTCTCCTCTCCTCTCCAACACAATACTTCAGGTTAATTCAAGTCAACTGGGTATGCACAAGGGGCTGGGACACGGTTCAAAAAACTGGTTCAAAAGTCACTCACCTTCCACAACCACTGTTGCAGGTTTTGAATAGGCTGTGCCCAAACTGTTCTTGGCCACACAACGATACTGTCCTGCATCTTCTCTCTGAACATTGTGAATCCTTAAATTCCCAGAATCAAGCACAGCAATGCGAGCAGTCTCCTGCCAGAGGAAGGAGCAATTGAGGTGAGGGCTCTACATGCAGACTGCACACAAACAGCATCAAAAATCTATTTACAAAGTTTGGGCTTACATGCATGAACACTATACATTTTGTCCTACAACTTACAGATCTGGGGTCAGCTCTTTCTGCTCAGCATTGTCATGACATACTCACCCACTGCTGTTTTTGCAGATCAGTGAATTATAGCTTCAAAAGAGTTCTTATTTTAGAGTACACTTGCAAGTGGTTTTCTCAGTATTTGGCCATACTTAGTAGTAACAGGCTTGTATCACATAAAATATAGATACACATAGAGCATTATGTTTGTATGTAGAATTATTGCAGATGAAGATATGAGAAGAGAGATGAGCCCTCAATTTTCCAAATGTTTCCTTTCTAGATACTAGAATTTACAAATACTATAATTAATGCTAATATTTAACACAGTACCTTTAACAAATACTTAGCTTTACTGAAAACCATTTTCTACTCACCTTTACAATTGTTTCTCCTTTGACCCATGAAACAGAAGGTTTTGGATTCCCCATTGTAGTGCATGGAAGAACAGCCTTTAACCCTTCTATTATTTCCACATTTATAGGTGGACGGGTTATTTTGGGTCCTAAAATTTTAAAAGCCAAAAATTAAAGTTGAAATGAAGCTAAGGGATACTAGAATGAGACAAATTCAGAAATTACATTAAAAAATCTTCTGCTTTTTCTGTGTATTGCTGCAAGATAGAGCAGTCTTTCTTGGTTATGAAGTGCTTTGGTAAGAAAGAACTTTCTTCAGCACAGCATTCAGTTTCAGTTTATAGATGCAAAAGCAGCTAACTTGCATGGGTTATTTGTTTTCCTGAGTGGAGTTTGACAGTCATTTGAATTAAGGCCTGGGCTAAAATCCAAATTTAGATAAGTGTATTTCCAGTTTTGAAGAATGTTAGCATTCCAGGTTCTGACATTCTTCACTGCATAAACACTGTCTTGTCTCAAAGCCCAGATCTGGATTGAATTGATTTTGAAAGAGTTTTAACCCTGACTTGCCTCTAGCTCAACAAGAAAGGCATGTAAACACAATTAATGTCCTTAACTGAAGGATTTATAACTATGCTAGTGAAAAGGACAATCAAGCCTTAAAGAAAAAGCAATCAAACTCCCATAAAATTAATGAGGAATAAATTTAAATTCATTTTACTGAAAGAACATGGCATGTCTTAGTCTGAGCTGAGTGTATAAAAGATCATCATCTCAGTATTTCAGGAGATCTGACATTTTGAGGCCCTTGCATGATAATGAACTAGCAGAAAAGCAACTTTCAGAGAGCATTACCTCCTGGCCACCACCTGCAAGTGACTGGAATGATGCAGAGTTCCAGAATTACCAGACCTCGAGGGTCATCTCATCAGCACAGACAAATCCTTTCCTTCAAACAGATGCTTTAGCCAGAATATACCTCTGCTGCCCTTTAAAGTGTTTGTGTAAATAACTCCAGCCATGTGAGTGGCTAGCAACATGGTGCTCCTGACCATTCAACACTGCTATTGAAAGCATCTGAACATAATTTAATTGATTTTTGCCATCCTCAGGAAGAAATCTGATTAGTGAAATTTTACATTTAAATTTCACCAGGGATCTATGCAGTATTGCCACAGAGGTCTAAACTATCAAACTGTGCCTCTCTTGCAGAGTTTTGCACAAAGGGCATTCTTCAAAGCATCAGTTTTCATCTTCTGATCTTAGACTGTGTTATTCAAAGTGAACAATCCCAGCTGCATCAAGTTATGATCCCATATGATCCCATATGTCTCTGACTCAAAGAACTGCACCCAGCTTCACAAGAACATGGATCTGCCCTGACTGTGGATCCCCAGGTGCCATACATGAGAGTCTCTCAGGCTTTGGATTCAACACGTGGTGTCAGGAATGGATGGCATTCCCACTTACGCATTTTCACCTGGAGAGCCCCACAGCTCTGTGCAGCTGCTCCAACCCCATTATCTGCCGTGCAGCAGTACACCCCATCATCGCTGTCCTCCACGCTCAGGATGGTCAGGAGCTGCCCGTTCCTCTGGATGCTGTACCGGGTGTCAAACAGCCTGCAGGGCACAACACAGATTGTCAAGGACAGACAGAGACAGAGAAAGGGAATTGTGTTTGAATAAGCAGACTGCTGATGTCACTACAAATGGCAATAAGCTTTACCTTTGATTTTCCACCCGCTAGAAGAAGGAAAGGTGATGAAAATGCTGAGCTCAGCCTTAAGATTCAGATTCTCTCTAGACCATGCAGGTCCTGACTGTCACTAGTGTAGTGGCAGTTCTTCTGTGACCCAGACATTGCTAAAATAAGTAGGTGTCGTGTTTGGGGTTTTGACTGGCCAAGGACAGGCATGAGCACAAATAATCTTTTCCAGCCAGGTCCTATTTTAGGTATTCTCAGTGTAAGAGAAAGATGCTTATATAGGAACTAGAGCTGCGTGAAATTGTTTAAAGAAGACTTCTTCAGGGAAAATGAAACAAAACAAAAACAAAACACAAAAAAACCACAGTATTTTTTTTTTTTTTAATTAAACAGATAAAGTTGTGGAAACATTTTTTTACAGTTATGAAAAAAGACACAAACCAAAAACCATGAACTTTGGTGTCTACATCCTGGAGTGGTTCTGTCTATTTGTTTTGAAAAAAAAACCAAACCAATGAACAAACAAAGAAATGTATTGAAGCCATCTGAAAGTTAGATCCAAGAATAGATATAGTTTAATGACAGCAGGATTTAACCTGGATATTTCAGAGAACTGAAGAAAGCCCTAAAGCTGGAGCAACAAAAATATAGGATATTGTAACAAAGTATGTGGAGCAAAGATCAATTTAAAATCTGAGCATGACAAGAGAAGTGTGATATGTGAGTAGGGAGGATGTATGTATTGAAGTGTGAGAGCCAGAGAAAGCAGAAAGAAAGATGGTGAAAAATCAGAAGGCTGTGCTATTGATTTTCATCCCCAACTGCAAAATCACAGTAAATAAAAATAAATAGTATAAGTAGACACTACAAACAGTAAATTTCTTTGTGTTTTCTTTTTTATTCTTTTGTTGATGCTTTTAGGAAACACCTTCATGCAATCGGACTTTGATTCTGATGAACAGTGGCAAAACGGTTCTGACCTCAGGTCACAAATATCTGACCACTACATATATCAGGTTTTGGTTTTTACTGTTAAAAATTGTACAGCAGTTATTGACTAATCTGAAAGTACCATTTTTGATGTTTTAGGCATGTTTTTTCATTCTTGGCAACAGCATTTCACCATTCAGTATTACATCTCTCTCCTCTTTTCCAATGTTGAAAGAAAGAGTGCCATGAAGTCATCCATGGTGTAAAAGATATGCTGACTCTGTCCTCTTTCAAGGAGAGAAAAAGGCTCATTGTGGGCAGCCCTATTCTGGAAGATGGGACAGGTACCATTTCACTCAGCACAGGGCACCTGCTGGTTTACTTACACAAATTTTGATGTCATAAGGAAAGGCACATCCAGAAGACTAGTGCTGACTGTATTCTCTGCCCTGGCTCTATTTCCATTGAAGTTGAAAGTTTACATACTCTTTTGTTTTGAAGGCTAATTTTGCTGTCTGTCCAGGATGCTGGGACATTTTGCAAGAGAAGAAAATTTTGGAAATCAAATAACTGATATTAATTGCTTTCAATAACTAGGCCTTTTGAAGTTTGATACACACACAGGCTATGAAATACATTTATGTGGGTTTTTCCAGAAAAAAGAGTCTTCTGATCTGATGCTTTTCCATTGTGCAAATACTTTCATCTGAGTTTCTAGGAAGTAGCAAATATATTCAGTTTATTTCTCCTCTGTCTTTTGTTTGAGCTTCTGTATCCAGCAGTACTGAATATTAATGCCATATGAAGGTGAAACACTTGCTGTTATTAATGCTGCTTCAGAAGTGCCAGTGGAGGAATGAAACACCTGAGCTCTATGGCCTGATCAGAAGAGGTGTTTTTATCTTTATTTTCCGTTTTGGTCAAAGCACTGTGCCTCAGAGAGAGAGTGGAATGGCTTTAAGAAAGATGTGTTGGAATTCTGAAAGAGGGGATTGAGGTGATAAATGATCTGGCCTTCAAATTACCTTAGAACACATGGAGAATTATAATTTTAAAGACATAGGGAGAGAAAGACACAGTTCTTCATGGATGGCTTTCTCTTCCTGCTTTGATTATCAGTCATGGCCTCACTGATGGGGAAGAAATTAGGAGAAACATTTGGAAATAACATCCATGGAAGTTCAGACCTCCATGCTAGAACAAAGCCAGGGTCAGAAGATTAGAGCCAAATTTTGCTGAGATTGCAGAAAATGAAAAAAATATAATTCTGAAGGCCTATATTCATATTTGTCATTTTCTGATTTGTCCTACTCTAAAGCAGTTTTCCAAGAAGTGAGAACTCCTTCTGTGCTGACTGATTTGGAGCCTCCTATACCAGTGGTTCAAAGGCTTTTTGGATGTTTGACCACAATAGTGAGAATCATGTTTCAGGTGACCATCTGCCCACCATGGACATCTCCTGTGGAGGACAGATATTGACTGTTACACAAAGGTTGTGCTGCATTTTCCCTCACAGAGGAAGTCACATCTATTTAGAATGAGAAATTGATGCAAAACCATGCAGCTGATGTAATGTGATTTCAGAGCTAGAAGATCAAGTACAGTTTACTTGTAGAAACCTGTCAACAGCAAAAGGGAAAAAGCAATGGTAGCAACTTCCATAACACATTTCCACACTTCTAGAAGGCTACCTTCTTTGTTGACATCTTCATGTCTGGTGTTTAATGTCTAAGAGTGCATAACAATGAGAAGATAACTTCCAGATCCAGAACTGGAAGCAAACAAGAAAGGCACAGAACGACCCCTTCCATGCAAAGCTTTCAAGCACATTGAGACAGACAAGTTCTGCTAAGCTCCTTTTAAATATTATACAATGTCCTCATCCTTCATAAATGCATAAACTGAGGAATAGAGAAGAATGAATTGTCTGAAGCTGGAGAGAAAACTCCTTTTGTAGCTTGCAGCAGAAACCAACTCTCTGCAAGTTCAAGTGTGTGAAGGTGCAAGAGCAGCCCACAAGTGCTCTTACCACTCCCTCAGAAATACAGAATCCTATATAATTACAGCCACTCATTTTCTCTCCTGCCACAGACCCATTTTAATATGTCCAGATATCTTCTGTATCATGAAAGAAAGCACTGACAGTTTTGGCAGGAAGTGCTGGTAAGGGCTGGGGCTGCTCCCTACCTGATGGGAATGCTGTTGCGTGTCCATGTAATCTCCGGCTCAGGATATGACTCCACTACACAGACAAACTTGGCAACATCTTCTACCAGGGCATCCACTGTTTCCAGAGGAGTGCTGATCAAGGGAGCTGTGTAAAGAAGAGAAAATGAGAACACCTTCTGGTGCCAACTGGAGAGAGTTACAAAGTCTGCCAAACACCTTTGGTGGAGGACACCATGTCTCTGCAGGGTCACTCAATGGCATTTTCCCTTGAGGCCTCTCCATACAAAATGTTGCAAAACAGAGCAAACCCAGCTCCAGCAAGCTCAGTGCATCCCATGTTTCTGACCCACCTCTTCCTTGAGACTCACAGCAACAGGGGAGCATGCTGCAAGGACGCAGGTGAGGCTGCGTCCCACTGCTACAGGGGTGGCATTGCATAGGCTGGAAGTGCAAGGGGCAGCACACAAATTGAAGCCAAGCTGACCTGCCCCTGGACTAGGAGGAGTGCCTCCTTATTACAGCATGAGATTTGGACTTTTTTGGTCATTATTACAGGATTTGTTCACTCAACTATTTATCTTTAAAAATCAAAACCAAGCAAACAAACAAAAAACAACAACAAAACCTTTTATATGCGAGCACCAAACCCATTATATAGCACTGTATTTTTTTAAGCCAGGCTCACAAAGACCATTCAGGTCATTCAGATTTCTTGACTAAGACACATTCTCTTCCTCTCAGTTTCTAACCAACTCGGTTAGTAGCATGAGGGTTAGAAGTTGAATAGCTATGTCTAATGCTTATTATCACAGTCCTGTTGTCATACACGACTTGAATGTATCTTTAGAAACATTTGCCATTGCTCTGGTGAAAGACTTGAAGCACAGCTGGAAGGGATCAAAGCATAAGCCTAGCCACTCGCTTTCCCTGCTCATGGTATTCATTGCAGCCACTGCCTCCAAAAACCTTTGAATGTCTTGAGCAGTAGCTGCAAGAGTCACATATCCATATTGGTTGGACTGAATTTCATTGACAACTGTGCTGAGATAAACTAGTTTTTACCATATTCCTGAAGCACTCCCTTGTAAATATATAATGGATCAGGAGTCTTCCTGTTCCTCACTGAGTATAGCAGTACCTGGCCCACTATTTTTTCCAGAGAATCCCAACCGCTGTGTATCTACTGGCCCTCCTTAGTACAATGAGATTCAAATTCAGGTAAAAAATAACCTATATCTGTTTTACCCTTCCCTTTCTAAACAATAGGCAAAAGAGAAGACATTCAGATTTAAGTGACTGAGAATAATAGAAAGTCAATACCTTAATCCTTTTTTCAATTTACATGGAACTTGAAATTAGAATGTCTTTGGAATTCTGCCAGAATGAAGCTAGAGGAAGAAAGGATCAGCTTCCACTATCAGGTTTATATAAAACTCTAAACGCTTTTAACATTTCATTAGAATGACTCTGCCTCAATAATATTTCTAGTTTCTATGGCTTTGGATTGTATCATTGATTAACAATAATGACTATACTTATGTAAATCTCAAAACTACATCTAAGATAGCTCTAAAGACCATTGTTTAAGATCACTGCTTCAACTTGTATCATGCATCACTTTATTAGGTCATGTTGGGTCACTTTAAACAGAAATAATAATCTGTATTTTTCCCCAGATGAATCACGTGCCAGTGAAACCAAGTGGAAGATTTCTATAGTCTTCATTTTTCTGCTACTGATGGTTGTCTTAGGAGAATAAGCCCCAGTGATGGTTATCCTGTCTACTTCAAATGAGAGGTTGCTGCTTCGTGACAGAGTTTACTGGGGTTTGATGGCATTAACCCCAGTGTTTTGCAATATAATTTCATATAGTATGTTATTGTTGCTGTTGTCCACATTCCTTGATCTCTGGAAGAATGCTTTTCTAACCCTGAGAAATGTAAATTTTTACAGTAGCAATAGTTCAAAGCAATCAGTTTTATAACTGTTGTAACAATAAACACAGCCACTCCGATAAGTAATAAAATTACATTTATACCAAGAGCTGGAATGCATAATGATAGTATTTTGTTCCTTGGGCAAATAAGACCTGTCACATTTCTATATCAAATAAATTCTCTAGAAACAGCTACATACTTTTAAGTGTGTCTTTTGTTCAACAGATGACAGAATATTGCATAGACATGATCTGACCTGGTACATTTTGAAAGCCATACAGCTTTTTGGGCAGAATCAAGCCCTGTGCTTGCACAAAAATAGTGTCCAAACTGACAGCACTACAGTAAGAGGAAAATAAATTATTTTAAAGCTGCCTTCCCAAATTCTACATCATCAGAGAGCAACCATGACAGAAACAGGGATGTATAATTTTCTCATACGCTTCTTTCACCTTTGTGATACTTAACCCAAGTAAGGACAGTGGGCAGCGGAACATGCCGTCATTTTGTGAGGCAGCAGCAGAGTCCCAAAATGGCTGAGATGGTACGTACATCTAAAAGCCATCCAAACAGCCTGGACACTGGTGTCAGTCCATGTTTTCTCCAGAAAGCACTCTAAACTTATGATGCGTGCATTACCAAATTTTAACGTACGAAAAGAAGATCTAGACAATGTACAGACATATCTATCATCACATAGAAATGGAGCCAGGCCTTTCCATGTGCGTATACTGGACTTTCTGATATTTTTAAGGCATCCTTGTGGCTTTAAATTAATTGAAAATAAATTAATTTATATATGTGTAAAGCCACACAGGTGCTATTTTTCTGGATGTCAGCTGTAGTTTCCCAAGATAGAAAAATTACCCAAGGCTGGTCATGGGACCATGAGAAAGCCAAATCCCCTTCTATCCCCAGTCCACCAGAAGCTTCCAAATGCCTTGGGTTTGGATTTGGATTCACGCTTTTGAAACCAGACCAAGCAGGCAAACAAAACAGAACCAGTCCCTCTGCAACATTGCAGACACCTGGAGAAACTGCAGTTCCTATGGTAAAAAACAGCTCACCTGTGATGTCCTAGAAAAGGGAATGTCTGTTCATTACACTATGACACCAGGAAAAAAATCTATCACTGTCCTCTTTGTTTTTCTTGTCTCTCCAATACCACTTGTCTTACCACAACTTTAAAAAAGCGTGAAGTTCACAAACTTACCTTAGTGCCTTAGGCAAATACTAACATTTTTATTTCAAAACATTTTTATAAAAGAGATACATTATTCCCTTTTTTTTTCGTTTTGGGAATAACCTGACTAACAATTGTGAAAGCATAGCCCTACAAGAGCAGCAATGTTGGCCTAACATGTGAATACTGGCATTCCCCTTAAGATTTCATTTTGTTTTCCTGAAGCTGCAAAGTTTCTAGTAAGCGTTGAATTGCACCAGATCATCACCATTCAGCAAAAATTGTTTACAGATTTACAAAATGGTATGTCCAGAATGCTGGTTGTATTTCCTACCTCAGACTTTTCTAAACAGATTTTTTTACCAAGTCTTTTCTTGGCTAAAAGTGCATGTGTGCACACAAGATAGGAAGTATGATAACTTCTATGTCAAATACTATGACAAACATTGCATATTTGTACTTATATACATATTCTTTGTAAAGACATCACAGATACTTATTTATTTTGAAGCTTTATATACCTACAAACCCACATAGGTGTGCTGAACACAACAAATCTTGGATTCTGCAGAAACTGGTGCCACCAGCCGTTTACACTTCTGAGCCTCCTTTCACATGAGAAATTTACATCCTACCTAGGCTGAACCCAAAGGTCTCCCTGCCTATTACAGTGGACTATGTGCTCTTCATAGACAAAGAACCTCCAATTCCAAACACAAATATGAGAATATTTTCACTGATATCCTTCTAAAGGAGTATCTAAAAGGATAGTGACCATTGAAAACAGACCGTTTTTGTCCTTTCTGGGAATGCTACAGCACCACCCACCCCACCGTTACCAGAGACACCTTCCCCTCTGCAAAACCTCCTTCAGCAAATGGCAGAAGAGCAGGAAAAAGCCCCTCCAAGCAAACCTTTCAGAAGTGTCTCAGCCAAGCTAAGGGCTGCCAGGGTGAGGACGTGCACCAGGGGCACCTTCAGCAGGTCATTCATGTTTGATCCAGAAGGCATCCAGCTCCTTCAGGCAAGGCGTGCAGACCTCCCAGCCGGCTGCATTTCGGAAGCAGTGTGCAAGCAGAGCTTCTCTGCGAGTGACAGAGTGGGGTCTGAGAGATCTAAGTATAATCAGGAATTCTCCCACCCAGTGGTGGTGATGGACATGGCCAGCTGGTGTGTATCCACTTTGGTCAGTGTGAAAGCGTGGGGCTCATGAAACAAGAGAAAGCAAATCCCTTCTGAATTCCTTCTAAGCAAACAGAGAACATTACAATGGGTAAATGCACTTCCAGGGCAGTATCCTACCCCAGCGTTGCAAAGTCACCAGATCTTTATTCCAGCACTCTGTAAGTGCAGTAGTAGAAAAAAATGCTTGCTACTGCCTTTTCCTTCATCTTAGTTCCCCTCTTTTCCACTTTTTCTTGTCTCGCTCACACACACTCCCTCTTATTATAACCTTTCAAGATTGGCTGTAATATGCCACCTGTTGCCCTGCTGATAGTATTTCTTTTCTTAACAGATGCATTTGCTGGAGCAGAAGAGGTTGGCTCTGGTGACTAAAAGTTCCCTTCTGTAGGGAAATATGACAGTGGGGTTTAATCTCCAGAAATCTCCTTGTTAACCACCAGGTCTCTGCCTAAGATGAAAGACAGACAATCAACACTCATTTTCTAGGAAGACTTAAAGAAACATCAGAATCAAGATTTCCTGACTCACTCTGTCTTGCCCCATCCTACCACAAAGGCCTACGTTATATTTTCCAAAACTGTCAAGTCATTTGTACTGCCTGTTTTTCCAACATAAATATTTATATGAAGAGCAAATAGGCTGTGGAAAGGCTCATGCAGGGGCAATATCTTCATGAGCAGGGAAAAAGATGAATAATCAGTCCAGGAAGAACCTAATTGATGATGATCCTCTTAGAACATGACTCCCCATACTTTTCACCATTTTATCAGCAGAGTGGATGAAAGCTTTGCACTAAACTCTATGGTTTGAGGAAAGTGAATGTGCAGTCATAACATATCACAGTAAAAGGTACTTTGAGGTCTCTGAAATTTCCTTTATTTGCTGAAACTCTTGACTTAAGCTCCTTCTTAACAGTCATTTCTGCAACGAACATGGTTCAGCAGTGCTTCTTCTGAGGAGCAAATGTAGTAAAGCTGACCAGTGCTGTGAACATGTGAATCCCCATGGTTTGGCATGGCTTTATAATAACAGTGTTACTGTGGGGACATGCCACTGTTGATCAGGAGCAAGGATCTCTAGACAAGTGTTCCTCTGAAGATGAGTAAAGGCAGATACACTTACAGGATATGTTAAAGAAATTTCAAAATTCTGGAGCTAGCAATGACAACAAAGCAAAACAAGAAGATGATAATGAAATAACAATAATCCTACCAGGGAACACAGAAATACTGATTCGTGGCTGAACTTACAAGTATTTCTTTTGTTTAAGTTCAGACATATCCAGTTAAACTGCTCCACAGAAATGTGACTTGGTCTTTTAGGGTAAAATTCTGTTCATGGAGGGACTTGACCAAAGACCTTTATATTGCTGGATTCCTGTTTGGAATGTGTTACAAAGGCTTTCAAACTGCACCATCCATATGAATGCAGAAATTAATATCTCCTTTTTACTTGCCAATTGGATCATATAGAAATGACACTGCCAGCAATGGCTGTTAAATGCTAGTAATGCCTTTGCATTTTGGGGTTTACCAAAGTACTCTTAATCTTTCATTTCTTCTACTTCATATATTTTTATTAAGGATCATAATGAGCTCCTCTGCTCCAAACTGAAAGGATCTAAATTTACACAGTAAATGAGAATAGAGAGGATACATGGGCAAAGGTGCACAAGCTCCAGCTACACATGCCACACAACTAACATACAATACATATTGGAATCTGTGCCCATCATGGAAAGTTGTTTCTGGACACAGGGAAATCAGTGAAAATCAAATGCTGGTGACACCAAACTTTCTGCAATTCCATGTATTTTCCAGGCATATCTTATAAAACTGAAGTATGTCTTTAATTTTTACTCATGAGGTTATGAGTTTGCTGCTTGTTGGATGTTGTGTTTAGGTTTTTTTCTGAACAAAGCTGAAATGCATGCAGTTTACAGATGCATGCAGTATTTACATCTGTTGTTACTTATAGTCATGCCCCAAGGCTTCTGCTGAGATGAGGTCCCAGCAGCCTACATAATAATGAGAAGTCCAGTCCCCAGCTCTGAGATGTTGCGGGTGAAGCTTTCTTCCTACAGATTTCTGCTTATCTCTCTGCATTTCAAACATCCAAAGAAGCCAGTTCATGAAGTTCAGTGCACAAGACAGGGTGTGGAGTGTTCATTCACCTAGCTACCATTTTTTCCCTACTGCAAACTGTTTGTGAAGAGACAAATACAGTATTTTGAAATAAATGCATAAATACAAAGGAAGTAGTAATTTGCTAGAGTTGGCAAAAGAGAGAATTGTCTTGAAGTAAATGAATTGCTTGGCATCTCACCACTGTAATGAGTGGAAACTGTTCTGTCCTGTTTGGAGGACAGAACCATGCTGGACCTTTTTTCTGTACACCTCTGTTAACCTCCCTCCTTCTTCCAGGTATTCTGCTGCAGGCTGACAGTTTTGCATACTAATGTGACATAATTTGACCACCAAATTATTTGAAAACTTCTTTTTCTCCCACATCACCCTCTGGGATATCTTGTCCCTAGGTAGAACTAGATGTTCATCCAAATAGATAGGTTAAGACAGGTATTTCCAGCAGAAACTGTCCAGATAGAGAACAAAAACATCCTGCAGAGAGACTTAATGAAATTGCTTTGGCAGTGACCCTAATCACCCAAGCATCTGGTGATTCACACTGAAATAATCCAAGTCAGCACTAACCCAACCTGAGTAGTGATTGACTTGCCTGAGCTCAGATTGAGGTGAGGCTGACTGGCTGTAAATCCTTGGATCCTCCTTCTTGCCCTTTGACTGGGTGACGTTTGCTTTCTTACAGCTCTCAGGCATCTCTCCTGGTCACCATGACATTTCAAAGATTTGTTGTTGGTATGAGGTGCAACACCACACCCTTTGTCATTGGCTTCTCCACCTCTTGTATGAGAAAGTTATCATCAATACTTTCCAAGAACCTCCTAGATTGTTTGTGTTTGCTGAGGGCAAGACAGAAAACGAGCATGCCCCAACCTGCCAAGATAGCTGATGTGTACAGACACAAAAGACCAGTGGTTTTCAAAAAATCCCAAGCTGCCATGCCAAGCCTCTTCCAGCCAGCAAAGAGATGAAAAGGATGTACTGTGTGGTCTTCCCTTCAGATGGATGCATGCACATATCTCTGCACAAACTAACCTGATACCTGATGCGCCCTTGCTGCTTCCTGCCTCAAAGCTGTTGGCCTCTTAGATAAAGGCATCCTCATAAAACATTTGACAGTGAAACCCATTTTGGGGCTGCACATGTGCCTTTCTATGCAGAAATGAATGAAGGTCACATTGGCACAGGGTTATAGTCACACCAGTCCTCCCACTCCACCCTGCCCACTTTGCCAGCAGGACCTACAGGCAGCTCAAGCTCCTGGATGTCTGGCATGGAAAAAGTGTTTTTGACAATGCATGCCAGCATTAGGAGAGAAGAAACACATCATTTTAATTCTTTTATTACATACATACATTGTTTACAGTGATCCTGAGTGGAAGCAGCTCATGTAGCCACCAGCTTCAAGGGATTCAACCCAACCTCCAAAACACATGTGGCCAATAAGGTATTGCTGCTTGTATCAGAACAGCAAATGCTGCACTCAGTGTAGCATGTAAAGGAATGATCTGTACTGCTGCTGTTCTTTACCCTGCATTTGAGGCTTTTTTGTTTCATGTTTTGATTTCTTAATTGTCAAGATGAAAGAAAGGCTTTTCTCTAAAGTTCTTTAAGAAACACAGACACTTCTCAAAGCCCCACTTACTGTTTAAACTTGAGGGTATCAGACAGAGTTGGCTTGGCCTCTACCCTCAGTCATCTAGACCAATCTCTGGTCTCCTACTAATATTTCAGCACTTACTAAGCCCTGATTCTTGAATCTAAAATAATCCTCTTTTATTCTCTTGAGATTTTGTGGTGATTGGGAAACGTAAAATTTGCATTAATTTCTTGCTATCATCTTGCTATAAACTTCCCTGTAATTTTTCAGCTCACAGGATCTGTTGGCACTGACTAAGGACAATGAAAGATGTCATACTGTGTTTTGTGGTGGGGCAAAATTATGTAGGGTTATGAGATGTAATTAGTGTAATGAAAAAATGTAAACACTGTAAAGAAAGAGAAATAACCCTTGTCATGCACCTACCTAGCTGTGCATGGTATATATAGCACAGAGGGTGAGCTGAATACAGTTATTTCATAATATATAAAGCTAATTCCTCTGCTAGGAGATCTGCCTCCTATTTCAGTTGCTGCCAATGTTATCCAGCCGTACACCATAACAGAGGGAAAGACCCCACTCTTGATAACCCTCTCCTCTCAGAGGTTAATGCTGTCATGGTGCTAAGCTGAAGTGGGACAGACATGCCCTGTTTCCCCAAAGAGGACTGCCACAAAAAATATATTATCCTTGTCCCTCAGCTTCTGGTTTCAGTCTTTTATCCTGTACTTCCCATTGGAAGAGTGCAATCTGGGGGCCAGGATGGCTGCTGACATGCAAAGCTTGCTCTCCGTCTCATGGGACCACAACTGTCATGGGGTAGCTTTACGTTTAAGATAGCTTTGAGAGAAGGAAGCTGAAGCTGCTGGTGGCTGATGGGAGCTTTTCCTCCTGACCAATTATCAGTCATTTCTAAGAATGACTCCAGCAAGTGAGAAACAAGACCTGCATTCAGATTCCGTTATAGCAGAGCTCTTACTGACCCCCCAGGGAACTGGGAATGGAAGGACTCAGTCTGGATTTCCAGGCCATGGGAGCCATAGGAAGGAGAGCATCTACCTACGGAATCCCTTTTTGCAGAAATAATGAGGTGTTTGACAACAGGAATACATTAGGGATTTAATATATCCCATTGATTTTGATCCCAG